ACACACACACACACACACACACACACACACACACACACACACACACTCCCCTTTCACATCGCTCTGCCACTGCCCTCGGCCCAGGCCTGCAGCTCTCTTGTGTCTTGCAGACCCAAGAGCATCACCTGTCATGTCACGGGAGACAGGAACGTACCAGGGAGAAAGCAGTGGACGCAGGCGAGTCACACCTGCGACCGCTGAAGCCCGAAGCCACTTCTTGCCCCATCAGCTACAGCGATGGGGGCAAAACTGACCCAGTTTGAATCCTGACCCCATTAACTACTACCTCGGTGGCCTTTGACAAGTTACTTAACATCTTTGGAGCTCATTTTCCTTGACTGTAAAGCAGAGCCCATAATAGCAACTTTCTCACAAAGCGGTCACTTAGGAAGACAGGGAGATATCCATAAAACGCTTCAGCACCGTGGCTGGCACATGGTGTGTATTCAATAAGCCTAAATTTCTATGAAGACAACAGGAACTGAGGAAGCTCCGGGAGGGGGATGGCTCCCTGAGACAGCAGACTGTCGTATCGGAGGATGGGAACTGTGAACTCAGGTGAGCAGGCTGGACCCAGTGGGGGTGGGAGTCCCTCAGAGCAGCTGGGAAGGTGTGGGGGGGGCCGGGGGGGGGCTGCAGTGCAGGAGGTGGAGGGCGGACACGTGGAAAGACAGGATGGAGAGGGAGAAACAGGAAGACAGGCAGGGGGCATCCTCCAGCTTCCACCCTGGAAAAGGAGATGGCAGTGGGTCGGCACGTTGCCCAGACACTGGGAACACGCAAAACCATAAGGCTTCGCCCACCTCCGCTCCCAAGAGCCTTCCATCGAATTATTACCTTAAACAGACGGGCCCCCCTCCTTAAGCCAAGGACAGCTCGGGGCCAGCCAGTTCACCGCACTGAAACGCCCTCCTCCTCAGTCAGGAAACGGGGCGAAGCCGACAACTAAGGCAGAACAAGGTCTTGGCACAAACCGGACACTCCAGGGACTTAAACCCAGCTTCCTTGTCATCACTCTGGCCCTGGCACATTTGCTGGGCTGAGACAGGCCCTCTCAGAGGGGCCTTGCAGGGTAAAGGGCAGGAAACGACAGGTCTCCCCTTCCCTGCTTGGCCTCCACTCAGCCCTTCCAAATCAGCTAACGCTGCTTCCCATTAGCCAAAGCTGAGAACCAAACGTAGAAGGACCCAGAATAAACACAATTCCTCCATGGCTGTCAAGTCACTTTAAAAATTCGTTGAGGAGACGTGTTACTCTAGTAAAAGAACACACTGACCATGCCAAGGCTCACTGCAGCCCTAACTCCGTGTAAACTGGGCACAGAGAGCCGTGGCGGGAGAGACGAGGGGTCAGCAGTCTCAGGGCCCCCGCCTCTCGTCTCCCCTGTCCCTAATTCAAGGGTTGGTTAAATGCATATAGAGAGGGAAGGCAAAGGCAAGCTTTGCTGGGAGGAAACCAATTCCCTAGAAATACAACGGGGTCCCTGGGAAGGAAGGAAGTCCTTCCAAGGCTATGAGACTTGATGCAGACCTCCCTCCCACATGAGGGTCAACCTGGAATGTGCCCAGGAGGATGTAACCCACAGACAGGTGAAATCGTAGCGCTCACTCAAGTCTCCAGGAATGTTCTTTTGCCCCACAGCTCCCGACTAACCCTCCCTCCCTCTCCCTTACCCACAAAGCACATGCCAGGCATGTATTTGGACAGAGAGTGAATTTGTAGAAACAACTTTTGCTGAGAGTGACTAAGCAGTGGGTGACATGACAAGACAGCGGAACGGAAAGAAGGCAGCGACCTGCCCCGGGGGCACCAGGGAAGGCAGGGGGTGAAGAGAACTGATCCTAAGAAATCCCCAGAGAAGGCCACCATCACCTCAGGTCTCTCCCCCGTTTCACATAAGGATCTCAGCACAAGAAAAGGAGGGAGAAGTTTCTGTTTAATCTACCCTAGGATTACTTGTTTGAATGAATCAGAGTCCAAGGATGTGGCCCCTCCACAAAAGCGGTTCTAATTTCCTATGCAATTTCTTGCACTCGCCCCACCCTCAGGCATCACTCCATCCCCTGGGATTTTAGTACCACCTGCTGGACTAATGATGCTACCAGCCCAGGTGTCACCAGCTCCTGAGGACGTGACTACTCAAGAGGTTCTGACAAGTCCTGAGAGAACACTTGGAAAACATAACATCATCATCTCAGGTGAAGCAGGTTTCTGACCTGCCACATTGATATTTATCGACTAATGCCACCACCAGGCATTTTACCTGCATTACCTCTGATCGGCACAACTATCCCAGGAGTACTAACTAATCCTTACATGATCAACCAATAGGAAAATAAGGTACAAAGAGATTAAAACATAATCTGGGGAAGAGATATGGGAACATATGTATATGTATAACTGATTCACTTTGTTATACAGCAGAAACTAACACACCATTGTAAAGCAATTATACTCCAATAAAGATGTAAAAAAAAAAACAAAAAAAAACCCCATAATCTGCCCAAGGTCACACATCTACTCAACGGTGAAACCAGGATTTAAATAATGTCCAGTTCATCTGACTCCAATTTTCCCCCCAGTGATGCCTCCCAAATTTGGCAAGCTAATATGGACATCCGAGCAGATCAGCCTAGGTAGGACCTGGGTTTGTGGATGAAGGTGATAAACCAGACCCTGGGGCAGATGCATAAGCAATTGTCAGGCTCAAGCCTCAATTATCTGTCAAAAAAGATCATGCAATTCTTACCTGGCCTGTGTAACCCTAAAAAACAGGCCTGTCTCCTTCATATTACCCATTTAAATAAAAAAAACCCATGCCTGGGAGGTCACAAGAGGCACCAAAGTCACAAAGCTAGCAAGGGGCTCTGCTGGGACTAGAATTCTCCTTTTCTCTATCAGGTTACTCCCACTGCCCGACACCACCGGGGAGGGGAAGTACAGCTCCCCTGACTTAAAAGAGTGTGACTCCTATTACTTCTTAGGAGGGTAAAACCCAGGGAGTCATTTCTCTAGATTCTGCCATTTCCACTTATAGTTCTTGTGACAAGAGTACTGAACTGGATAAACTAAAAATCTGTTTCATGAACCGGAAAAGAGGAAACTTCACAGACTTTGAGGTCAGAAGGCTCCGGGCTGCAGCTTATGAAATCTGACTCTGCCAATGACTTGCTCTGCGACTAGGAGCTAACCCTGGTGTTTCCTGTGTCACTCCTCTTCCGCACGATGGGGACTCAAACCTTAAGTCAGCTTTCATCCCTCTCCTCAGTCACCCACACCCCGCTGCCTTGGCTGGGGTCCGGTCAGCTCTAACTCTGCTAGGAACCTTTCTCATCTCTCCCCAACTCTCCATTCCCCCTCACACCACCCACGGGCGACAGCCCTACCTGTTGTCCAGATCAGCAGGACAGTCCTAACAAGCCATGGTGTCTCTGTCTGAGGTATATGCCTTCCTGGGCTGCCTAGGCCATCACCCCGCCCCATCCAAGTCCAGAACCCACTTCCCCCACAAAGCCTCCCAGGCTCTCTGGTAGAAGCAAGCCCTCTGCTTCGTGTCCCGCAGAGCTGAATGCACGGGCTCCGCTCTCCCACCAGCAAGCAGTTTGGTGTCTTCAGCACGCGTGGAAGGAAGGCCTGCAGAGAGAACAACTGACTTGGCTCCCGAGCTGGGTGGACAGAGTGACCAAACCTCCACAGAACTTTCCAGAAAGCAAAGGGCGAAAGAAGCGGGCAGGTGGGACCAGCTGCCCAGAGTTGCAGGCAGAGGGTGTTCCTGCCCACCCCCCAGATGTCCTACAGTGAGTTCCCATCTTGATTATGACACCTGTGGGTAAATCATAAGGAACTGAGCACTTAACCAAACTTTTCCCCAGCAAAACCAAGACGTGAACTTCTTATGTCATCTCTGTGACCTCACAAGCTTTTCGTTATCTGAAACAGTAAGTGACTAATCCCTTCTCAAATGTCACCAAATGTTTGGGCAACAGGACATCCCTGGGGCTAGACTGACTCAGTTGGGCTGGGCCATGCAGCCACGAGGCAGGCTGCCTCAGGGAAGGCATGAGGTCCAGAATCGGGGAGGGCAGGGGCCTGTCACAGGCCACCGACAGGGCCATCTGAGGCTTTTGGAACGCACCTCTGCGGGAGAGCCGGGTGTCCGCATCTGTGTCCACAAAAAGCTTCATCTGGAACAGGTCTCGCACTTCCTGGGAGTAGAAGGCCAGGATCCCTTCGAAGAGCACCACATCTGCGGGGTAGACAGTAACCGTCTCCTCCTTCCTGCAAAGCACAGAGCAGATGATGGGCCGAGCCAGGTAGGGGGAGCCCGGGAGGAGGAAACAAGAGAAGCTGTCTGGGAGTCTGGGGTCCTAGCCCCTTGACTGAAAGGGCACTAAGAGGGTTTAGCTAATACAACCTTACAGAGCCCTCAGACCACCACGGAAGACCCAAGAATGAGGGCCAGGACGGCTGCAGCAAAGGTCTCCTGTGACCAGTTCTTCTGAGCTTCCGTCATAAAGCAGATGGGTAGACATCCTTCTCCTTGGAATAAAAAACCTGCTGTTGGGACCTCCCTGGTGGTCCAGTGGTTAAGACTCTGCGCTTCCAATGCAGGACACGCAGGTTCGGTCCCTGGGCGGGGAACTAAGATCCCACATGCCACACAGCGCGGTCAAAAAAACAAAAAAAACCTGCTGTTGAATGAAGAATAAAGACAGACAAAAGAAGATGTGATCACCTTTTTTTTCCCCCCTCCGAAGGCGTCTCCAGGAATGCTCTCAGTCCTGGCATTTATGGAACCTAACACTCTGAACTTTCAAAAACAGAAACTCACAGTTTTCTGCCAACAAGTCCACCCCCTCCCCCAGTGCTGAGGCAACTGGGAGGAAGAAGGAAGGGGCAGATGGAGGGAGGGGAAAAGAAAACTTTAGGTAAGAGGGTGGGAAGGGGAAAGGATTTCTGTGGAAGGAAAGAGTCCCAGTCCTGCCAGGGTTGGCTCTGCCCAGCTCCTACAACTGTCTTCCTTATCAATAAAGCAGGGACGGGCTTCCCTGGTGGCGCAGTGGTTGAGAGTCTGCCTGCCGATTCAGGGGACACGGGTTCGTGCCCCGGTCCAGGAAGATCCCACATGCCGCGGAGCAGCTGGGCCCGTGAGCCACGGCCGCTGAGCCTGCGCGTCCGGAGCCTGTGCTCCGCAACGGGAGGGACCACGGCAGTGAGAGGCCCGCGTACCACAAAATAAATAAATAAATAAATATAAATAAATAAAGCAGGGACATACATTACCTCATCCATCTCCCCACAGGATTGGGAAGCCCAAGGCAGATACTACTGTAAACACGACTTTTCAAAAGCCAGGGGAGTGAAACCAAATGGATAACTGGGGGTCCAGCTCCGCCCTGTCTCAACTTTCACTGCAATCTTGTCTTTCGCTTCTGTCGGAAAACCACCTTGCACTTCACCTCAAAATTCACGAAAAGGGAAGTAATGACGCCACTGCAAGGTTTACCACTCACCCTAACTAGCAGACATTTGTGAAGAAAACCACACAGTTATTTCAAAAGTTCCTTAAGATTATAGGTTTTATCTGTGCAAACACAGTGAAGTCAGCAGCAGCTGGCCACTGAGTAGGGACTTCCCTCCCATAAACATGCTTTGATTCTTTATTGGCTCAGTCCCCTGGGTTCTTGTCTAAATTCTAAGGCAGCACTGTTGGAGCAACTACCAAGGTGGCAGAATATGGAGCATGAAAGACAGCAGAAAAGCACCAGGTTAGTGCAATTAGGAGACTCTCTAGGATGGCGGTGTTAACTCTGGATGCACACAGAATCATCTGGGGAGCTTTTAAAAATATTTATACCTGGACCCGACTCCCCTGGGGCTCTGACTTCATTAGTCTGGGGTGGAGCTAGAGCATCGATATTTTTTAAAAGCTCCCCAGGTATTTCTTTTCTTTTTTTTTTTTTAAAGTCATGAAACTTTATTTACTTAACAGCAGAGGTTCGAAGTATATTGAGCGGATAAAAATACCAGGAGAAACTGCATCCACGTTGGTATTGGAGAGACGCCTAACTTCTGTATTTTAGAAACTGACAGATGAAATAGCAATAAAGAAGGAAATGGAGAGTATGAATAACACAATTAGCAATCATGTATGTGTTTGTGCGTGCACACAACTTTGTACAAAACTTTGAAATACAACTGCAGCAGGCACAAAAATTAACTGTTAGGTCACAATGGAATATTAACCAATTCCAAAGAGTAGAACTCACTTGTGTATTTATTTTTATTTATCCTGCTTGGGAATTTGTTGCGTTTCTTGAATCTATGGATTTAGTGAGTTTCATTAGTTCTGGGGAAAATTAAGCTACTGTCTCTTCAGATATTGCCTTTATTCTCTTTCCTTTCCTCCTGATTAAATACTTTTCAGGTCTTTTCACTGTCTTTTATGTCTCTTAATCTCTTTTCTGGTTTTTTTCTGTCTTCTTCTTTCCTTAATGCATTAATGAATGATTTCTTCAGATCAATCCCCTAGTGTTTGAATTGGGTTTTTTTAGGTCCATTTTGCTGCTAAATACGTCTACTGAGTTTTAAAAATGTGCCGTTGTGTTTTCCGTTTCTAGAAGCAATGTTTGTTCTTTTTCCATATTTGATACATTATTTTTAATTTTTTCTTTTTTTTAAAAATTTACATTTTCTTCTCCCAGTTTCATTGAGATATAATTGACATAAAGCACTGTGTAAGTTTAAGGTGTACAACATAATGATTTGACTTACATACATCATGAAATGATTACCACAATAATGGTAATAATGTTCAGTGAACATCTGTCATCTCATATAAATGAAATATTTAAAGAAACATTAAAAGAAATATTAAAGAAATAGAAAACTTTTTTGTGAAGGAACTCAGGATTTAGTCTCTTAACTTTCATATATAACGTACAACAGTGATTATCTTTATCATGTTGTACGTTACATCCCTAGTACTTATTTATCTTATAACTAGAGTATGTACCTTTTGATTATCTAGTTCTCCCTCCCCCTGCAAGCCCATCTCCCCATTTCCCCACCTCCTCAAACTCCCCACACTGGTATCAATAAGTTTGATCTCTTTTTCTATGAATTTGTTTTTTGAAGTATAATTGACATACAATACTACGTTAGTTGCTGGTACACAACACAGTGATTTCATATTTCTATACATTTCCAAATCATTACCATGCTAAGTCTAGTTGTCATCTGTCACCACACAAAGATATTACATTATTATTATTGAGTATGTTCCCCACACCGTACACTTCATACCTGTGATTCATTTATTTCGTAGCTGGAAGTCTGTACCTCCTAATCTCCCTCACCATTTCTTCTTCCCTTACCCCCCCCTTCCCCTCTGGCAACCACCCGTTTGTTCTCTGTATCTATGACGCTGTTTCTGTTTTCTTGTTTGTTCATTTGTTTTTAGATTCCACATAATACATGAAATCATACAGTATTTGTCTTTCTCTGTCTGACTGATTTCACTTAGCATAATACCCTCTAAGTCCACCCACGTTGTCACAAATGACAAGATTTCAGCCCTTTTTTAAAAAAGCTCCCAGGTATGTCTACTGTGCAGCCAGGGTTGAGACACGCCAACCCTAGAAGAATGTCAGGTACTGGAAAACAGGGTGCTCATTGTGGTTTAGGATAAGGAACCAAACTGGGCAGAGTTCAGAAGCAAGATGGATAGAAAAAAGGATCAATGAGTGAGTGAAATAATGAGTCACTCTAGCCAGCTGCCCTGGGCCAAGAAGAGGGCAGAAAGGCTCTGCCGGGAAACAAAACGTGTGTGGGATTCCTAGGGTTCCATCTGGAATACAAGAGTGAGTGCAATGACCGTGCTAATTTACCCAGACTGACACTGTCTGGCAGTGCTGATCAGCTTGCCTAACTGATAAACACTAAAAAGGAACAGGTGGTTTTCCAACTTAACAGTCATGCCTCTTCAATCCTGGGACAGTAAGGAGAACCAAACTGCCTGCTCTGTGGGTGGTGCCCCCAAAAGTTGAAATCAATCACTCCCCAAGTCCACATGTAGGTCTAGGTGGGAGAACATTTAGAAATAGCCTAGAGCTAAAAACAACATTTATTGAGCACCTACTAGCCCAGGATGCACCAGGAACCTATGGTGCAATATTCTGTTTAGGAGTTTAGAGATGGGCTGGGAGGTTCACATAAACCTGGAGTATTAGAGCATTTGGGATTACCAAATTTGGGATTACCTAGCCCAACCTTCTCATTTGACAATCATTCCTTACGATAAAGAAGGGGAAGACCAGAGAAAGGTATTTATAGAGAATAGGTGACTTCTCAGTTGTAGCCCAACATTTGTTTGTGGTCACCAAGAAAGACCCATGGCTGGGACGGGATCAGTTAACCCTGGACAGCTGGGTCCCTCACAAGTGGCTCTTAAGAGTTGGGGGGGACTGCTGTGGTCTTAGGTGGTCACAAAGCTTCATGCAAGAGATGGGCTCTGGGCCACTAAAGAACAGGATTTTAAAATAAAAGGTATGAGAGGGGAATCTGGAGAAAAAAGTCAAACACATCTGGACGGGCAACTCTGCAGGGGTTTTTTTTGGTTAATACGTGAACTTGATGGAGCTCGTGCTGCACAAGGTACTCATCTTCACCCCCTGCCCCCCGACTACACTGGTCAGGCCCTGACTCCTGCCAACTGCCCTCACTCCACTCCCTTCCATCGGGCCTGTATCAGTCTCTCACCTGGGCCACTCCAACGGCTTCCTAAACAGCATTGTGAATCCTCGTTCCTGCCACAAGACTGACCTCTCCATTCCTACATAACTGCCATCTATGGCTCCCTACTGCCAACACGTTTATCCTCTGGCCCTGGGGTCCATCCATGGTCCTTCCTGATCTGAGGCCTGCCTGCCTCCCAGCCTCTCCACCTCCCGCCGCTCCTCCCACACACTGACCCCCATCCCTCCACACCTAACCTACTGCAATCCCCCACCAAGCTGGCCCCTGAAATGCCTACCTACCCATCACCTTGGAAATCCCTTTCCCAACAGCTTCTCATGCTTTCCAATGCACAGCTTAAATATCATCTCCTTTACACAACCTGCACTAAATACTCCAGCCCTTCCTCCCTCCTACTGCTCCACATCCCCTTGCCTCAGTCGTCAGGCTGCACTGTAATTCTGTAGCAGTACCCTGCCCAGGCCCTGAGAGGTGGTGGGCTAGACTGTCTCTTGTCAACTTGACATCACCACCACTCCCCCAAGGCTAGAAACTACAATTCCCAGAATCCCTTTCCCTACATGGTCCCAGCTACTTTACCAATGGGAAACTCAGAAGATGAAAGTGATTACCACAACACTGTAAATCAACTATACTTGAATAAAATAAAGGTTTAAAATTAAATTAAAAAAGAAGATGAAAGTGAAACAAAATCTGTAATTTTTAGGAGACCATAATAGCTAGACAAGGAAACTGCAGACACTCCATAAGTTCCCATTCAGAGGCTGTGGGCCCGGATGGATGCAGCGGATTCTTGGACTTTGCACGAACCTAGCTGCTTCTCCAGATGGCAGCTCAGGCTGCCATCATTGGGGACGAATTTCTCTGATTCTCCGGCTGCGGCCTCCCAGATCTTTGCTCTCCCAGCCCCCTCGTTATTCATGTTAGCTCCAGTTCCCTATTCTAAGCGCCCCTTTATTCCTGCATAGTCTGGAGAGGTTTGCTATAGGAGGCATATCTTGTTCTCTGAATGTCCTGCACAGCAGAATCGGGTCCATAGTAGGAAGTACTTCAAGAGCTACTGGTGAGGGATGAAGGTGAGAACCAAAGCAGCCCGGCTTTCCATCACAATGTGCTCTTTCCTCCTCCTCCAACCCAATCTTTGCCACACCCTCAAGTTCTGAAAAAGTTCATGAGAAGAGCACAGAACATGTGAGCTAACTGCATTAAAGGCTGAGATGTGTCCTAAAGGAACACACAGGGAGATGAAGATTGGGCTTTTAATTATAGAAACACTTGGTAGTAAACATTTGGTAGTAGAAACATTTTAATGATAGAAACATTTGTTTTTAATTATAGAAATATTTGGTATGAAATCTAATTTCCCATTTTTAAAAAATCAACTCAAGAGAGAGTGGGATAAAGAAACCAAGAAGGAAAATGAAAAGCGGGAGGGAGAAACTTTCAAAAGATCCCAGAGCTAAAAACACTTACTGAGCCACTACTAAGGAGCTACACGTGATGTGACACAACATTTACGAGTGTCGAATGTGCCTGGGAGGTCCCCCGAAGGAGACAAAGTGAGCAAAGAGCTCTGTGTAGCTCTGAAAGAGCTTGGGGTCTGGCTAGCAGGAGGGAAGTCCTCCAGAAGCCCCTTCCCACCACTCAAGAGGGAAGGAGGCTGTGATGGAGGTCAAGCCACTCTGCTATTCTATTAGGAGCATGAGAATCGACAAATGGAAAGGACAGGTCTGACGTGATTGAGAAGCTCTCTGGTGGGTCTAGTCTTTGGTGACCCCAGTGCCCTCACACCTCCCCACACAGCTCGATCCCAAGTAATCCAGGAGAGCAGAAAGAACAGCTTCTTTTCTTCTTCTTCCTGTTTTTCCTCTACCACACCCCCTTGCATTTGTTCCAGGAACAACAGCTTGGGCATGTGGATGAGGACGAATGTGCAGTCCCTCACCTGAGTCCAAATTCACAAATCTAACCCTTCAGAGTTAACAAAGCATGATGATCACGATGGAACTGTTCCAGGAAGCACCTGGATGAATTCCTGACCCCGTGCACCTACAGGTATGCTGACGCCACCGCCCTGTCACTGACAGGCTGTACTGGGCACCAGACACATGGGGGCGGGGGCGTGAAGAAGCCTGGAACTTCTGGGGACCCTCTGGGGAGGTAACAATCTCCAGCCCAGAGCAGCTCACTTACCGGGAATGGGAGACAAAGTCATACACAGGAATCTGGACTGTTTTCCCTTCGGTGATTTCTTTGAGTGTCTTGAAGATGAGTTCATTGTCAAAGGCATCTGAAGGAAATCAAACTATTAAGATGTTTCTTAATTGTAAAATGATTTCTCCTATAGTGATGAACAGGGCATCCCTAAAAACCTATTATTTCACATACGTGTATCACACCCTAGAGAAGCATCCCCTCCCCACAAAAAAGCCAGATTTCTACCTAAAGCAGAATGCCAATTCCCTGCATCTCAAACCAAAGTGTATAAATGAGTTCTGAAAAGTGGATTCTTTTTTTTTTTGGCTTGCCATTCCGTCTCTGGCCTCAGACATCTCTGTCCTCCCTCTAAATCCGGCAGCATATGATAACCTGGAAAGCATACTCACAACTAGGGCACTGCAGCAGGCATCACACCAAGTTTTGACTCTCACAGTTATAAGAACTCCAAACCAGCTGAAGGGGCAGTGTGCTCATCTGGGACTGTCAGGGCCAAAGACATTCAGGCAGCCATCCTGGACCCTCCACCCCACTCTCTGCCAGTCGGTGAGTTTAACACACGAGCCATGTACACGCACGTGCTGGGTGCTGGTGGGAGGGTGTGACACAGGCTGCTGCAGAGCAGGAGGCGGGAGAACCAGCTGTGTGTGCGCTAGCCTGTGTCTGGCCCACCCTGAGGAACAGGCTTCTCCAAGAGTCGCCCTTGTTCAGACACAGATTCGATCAGTTTTTAAGGCGCCAAGCACCAGAGGATGCGTTGCAAAGTGCTTCTTTCCTATAAGCCCCACCGCAACCCCGCAAGGTACCTAACAGTCCTCCATTTTATGGATGGGAAACAGAGAGGTTAAGTAACTTCTTCAACCGATTCCCCCCCACACGCCCCTTCAATGCCCCGACTCACCCGGGTGATCAAAATTGAACTGGCCCTTCAAGGCTTTGGCCTTCTGCTCTGAAGTGAGGACACGGTAGAAGCTATCCTGGCTCAGGATGACCACCTGCTTCTGGCGATAATCCACCTCATTCTGTCCCAGGAGCTGCACAATCTTAGCACAAACGGAAGACTGTAAGGAAAGAAGGGAACACCACGGAATAAGGGAGGTCCAGTCACTGAGCTGATGTGTGCGCCCTGAGCAAGGGGGCCTTTGGAAAGAAGAACCCAAAGGCTACCATATCTTGGATGATGCATTAGGGGAAGGGAGGAAACGTCCGCTGAGAAGGAATTCGGGGGCCCCAAAAGTCTCTTCCTCTCTTTCCTTAACACAATTTACTACACTCAGGTATCCACAGTGAAGGCAGGGGAAGGAGGGCCGTAATCTCTAACTCCTCTTCCATAAAGCCTTCCCCAAAGCTACTAATAAAAGGTGACACTATTTTATTCTTCCTGGCTTGCACCCTGGTATAGATACACAAAAAAGACAGCAGAAAGTGGGGAAAGGGCACATTGAGGCTGTGCTGATGGGCCCAAGGGCCTCTGGGTCATGAAGTGACTGGGCATTTGCTAGACATCTCACAGCCCCTGCACATCTCTTTATGTCAAAGGAATCTCATAGCAGAGAGCCTGGCTGGTTGGCAGTAAGGCCAAGGTCATGGTTTCCATCCTACTTCTGTTGGTTTCTTTTGCTCTGGTCCAGAGCCGTGGACATCATCGCCCTCATAGTACCCCAGACAGCCTTGTCACAGATGTGTGCCCCCGCTTTTAGAGCTGGAGACATAAACATCACCAATACCTGAAACAACCTAGGGGTATCCCAACTAAGAGTAGGGACGCCAGTTCCAGATGAACTCAAACCTACATGCTTTGTATTGTGTTGCCAGTAATACACATATCTGACTCCTTTTCTCTCCAATAACATACGCTCTTTGTAAAAGGAAAAGTATAAAAGCAAGCGCATTCCAAAGAATGAGATAGTGAAAGATTGTATTTACCAAATAACTCTTTTCTTTTTTTTTCATTTGATACAAAGATTAATTGAAAAATAAGAATGTCTACATTACAAAACCTCTAGAAGCTGTAACTCAAGCCCCCTATGGAACTGGTTGACCTAATTACAAGCGATGAAAAAATGAGCAGTTAGAGGTTTCTTGGGCTCAGCCTTAGAAGTCTTACTATTGAACTTATTTTACCAACTGATTTTACAGGGAAAAACCAGGAAACTTTTAAAAGTTCTTATGAAGAATGTATTTGATTGGTCCAAGCATAAGGAAAACTGGTCATTCCTGTTATACTAGCCAGTGCAAACTAAAACTATTTTGAATTATACTCCAATAAAGTTGTTAAAAAGAAAGAACTATTTTGCACAATATGTCCTGTTGTACACGTGGTGAAACACACTGCCATATTATAAGGATCTGTGGGGGAAATTTTTTTTTTTTTTTTTTTTTTTGCGGTACGCGGGCCTCTCACTGTTGTGGCCTCTCCCGTTGTGGAGCACAGGCTCCGGACGCGCAGGCTCAGCGGCCATGGCTCACGGGCCTAGCTGCTCCGTGGCATGTGGGATCTTCCCGGACCGGGGCACGAACCCGTGTCGCCTGCATCGGCAGGCAGACTCTCAGCCACTGCGCCATCAGGGAAGACTGGGGAAAAATATTTTGACTCAACTGTTAATTATTAGAAAATTATTTTACTTTTATGACACTTTTGCATATTAACACACAAAAAAGCATTTAAAACTACTTAGGATTTTTGGAACTACAGATGTGCCAAAAGAAAGAAAAAAAAGGAATCACAGGAAGGTATAAAGCTTGCACATGACTTAAACTACATTCAAAAATGAAAATGCTACAACAGAATCAAAGGTTCTATGCAATCAAAACCTCTTTAAGTTTTTAAACATGTATAGGCCCATAATTTCCTTTTCCTAGCTCAAGGCAATGAGAGGGCAACTTTTATACCTGCAGCCTTCACTAGTAGATAGAACTCCTTCCAGAAGTCCAAAGAACAAAAGTGAAAAGAGGGATTCATGGAGCCAGATATATATAATCTATCAGGTTATTCAAATAATGGTATTTTTTTATTTGTAGCTAAAACACATTAAATATGTGTTTTTTAAAGAAGAATAGTAATCCCACCACTGCCAGAAAAGCATATAAGGAAGTTACACTACTTAATTTCACAGATAAACCATCATTTCCCTTAACCCAGGCACAACCTAGGACAGAACCTATCCAATGGCCAATAAAATTGGTTAATGAACATACAATTGGTACAATTCTAGAACGTTAGTGCTCATCACCCTCTCTAACAAGAGTAAGGATGGCTGGGGAATTTCCTGGTGGTCCAGTAGTTAGGACTCAGCGCTTTCACTGCCGGGGCCTGGGTTCGATCCCTGGTCGGGGAACTAAGATCCTGAAAGCTACGTGGCGTGGCCAAAACAAAGCAAACAAACAAACAAAAAGAGGGTAAAGATGGCTGTTTTGTTGGTCCACAGCTGCTTGTCTCAGCTCTATGTTTTCAAGGACTGAGCTGGTGATCGTTCTTTCCACAAACATACCACCACCACCAACTGCTAACATTTTAACTGATTATTGGTTAGGTGTCAGGCCCTAGGCCAAGTGCTCCATTACAGCTACCCCCAGAAGTCACAAGTGTTACCCTTCACAGATGTGGACACCAAATTAAAGGACTTGGCTACAGTCATACAATCCTGGTTCCTTTCCTCTTCAACTTAAAAGTAGTCAGGGACTTCCCTCGTGGCGCAGTGGTTAAGAATCCGCCTGCCAATGCAGGGGACACGGGTTTGATCCCTGGTCCGGGAAGATCCCACATGCCGTGGAGCAACTAAGCCCGTGAGCCACAACTACTGAGCCTGCGCTCTAGAGCCTGCGAGCCACAACTACTGAGCCCGCATGCCACAACTACTGAAGTCCGTGTGCCTAAAGCCCATGCTCTGCAACAAGAAAGGCCACCACAATGAGAAGCCCGCATGCACAATGAAGAGTAGTTCCCACTCGCCACAACTAGAGAAAGCCTACGCGCAACAACAAAGACCCAATGCAGCCCAAAATAAATATAAATAAAATAAATTTATTTTTTAAAAAAAGTAGTCAGAAGTGGGGGGTGGGATAAATTTGGGGTTTGGGATTAACATATATACACTACTACATATAAAATAGACAAATGACAAGGATTTACTGTATAGCACAAGCAACTATATATATTCAATACCTTGTAATACCTATAATGGAAAAGAATCTGAAAAATAGATATAGATATATGTATAGGTGAATCACTTTGCTGCACACCTGGAACTAACACGACACTGTAAGTCAACTATGCTTCAAAAGAAAAAAAAAAAGGTAGTCAGAAGTTCCAAGTCGAAGAAACCCTTTTATCACTCAGGAGATAAACACCACTGCATGAACAAACAAAGAAACACTTGCCTCTAGGTTAATTTAGATTTTTCTAGTATTTTCTTCTTTCTGGAACTTGTTAAAACTGTTAAATCGGGGCGACAGATACTTGGGGAGGGGTTCATTGCCTCTACTGGTGCTTAGGTTTGAATCTTCACACAATCAGAAGGAAGAAGTCCTACAGAGGACGTCTGCAACGAGTGAATGGTTTTTTCCTTACTGAAGGCCCTCCTTTTATGTCTCCTTCACTTTAATTTCCCTTTTCTCTAACCCTACCCTTTTCAAAAGGATGAAATGGAGGTGCAAGGTGTCTTGTTCCCTCAAGAAAGGAAGTAAGTCACTAATGACTAGGGTTTGAGGAGAAGGCAGGCAATCCTGAGCTTGTAGAATGCTAAAAATGGGAGAGAGCGCAATTGCTGTGGTGAGCTAAGACTTATTAAATAATTATAGTCACAAAACCACAAGTACCATATGATCCCACTCAGGAGGTATGTAGAGTAGTCAAACTCATAGAAACAGAAGGTAGAATGGAGGTTGCCAGGGGCTGGGGGAGGCAGGGTAGTGGGGAGCCGTGTTACGGATATAGTTTCAGTGTTACATGATGAAAAAGTTCTGGAGATTGGGTGTCCAACAATGTGAATATACTTAACACTACTGAAACGTACACTTAAACATGGTTTAAGATGGTAAATTTTATGTTATGTATATTTTACCACAATTAAAAATAATAATTATTATTATAAGAAGAGTCCACATTTAAGGGGCGGTTTCTTGCTATGTGCTGATACTGGGCTCAACATTTTTAAATCATCCCATTTACTTATTACAACCTTGTATGCTGGCCATTATTATTATACCCACTCTACTTACGGTGAAGCCTGAGGTGAAGTGACTTGCCCAAGTCAAGTGGCAGTGGAGCCAGGATTCCAACGCGAGAAGTCCAACCCCAGAGCCCACCCTCCTTCCAGCTGCACCTCCCAGGCAAACTGGTACCACCCGTGGGGCTGGAGGTAAACTCAGTTTTGCATGGTATCTCCACATGTAGCGCGATGTATCCAGAATGTCTTCTGTCCCTGCCACTTCTATTACACTATTTTAAAAGAAGAGGGGGTGGGGGACAGGACACACAGCGACAAGCCAGCTAGGGTTGCTGTCTGAATACAAAGTTAAGATCAATGAGGTTAGCTTTAGAAAAGGAAAAAAAGAAATCATATGGAAGACTCAGGGAAGGTCATTTACAATTTCTTCACTCCTGTGCCATTTTGAAGATATTATCTCAATTCTTTTACAACAAGACACTATTTTATCTTTTTTTTTCCTTAATGAGAAAACTGAAGCTTAGAGATTTCATTCAAGCTGAATGGCTTGCTCAAGGTCATGGAGCCCAATCTCAAGCCACAGATCTTCTAACTGCAAAGGCACAATTCTTTTCACAATTCCAAACTGAAGCAGTTCTGGCATCAGCCCCACTACTCTCTATAAATTTACTCCATTTCCAGAGAGCAGGGAGGGAACTGGTTAGAAACGTAATACTGTTTTGTCCCACTGTATCATTAAAGTCAACTTTCATAGAATTTCATGTGACTCAAGGCAGGCAAGTGATTTGTATATCAAAAAGAAGCTAAAAGTACACACACACACACACACACACACACACTCTCAAGGTATTTGGAACCTAAATTTGGATTATGCTCAACGAATCCAGCTGTTT